ATATATATATATATATATATATATATATATATATATGAGAGAGAAATGTCGATGGTTTGGAAAAAAAAAAAGGAAAAATGTGGGAATATGAGCGTATTACTGTGTACCGCTACTAAATGAGGGGAACAACTGTTCTTATGCTGTTTTGATGATCTTTCGTTACAATGTCGTTATGTGTCCATGCCTTATTTATTTATTTTTCGTAGCTGGTGGTGGTGATCCCAACCTCTCTTCCTCTTCCTGCTTTATTGGTGTCACTGCTTTCAAGGGCTTTAGGCAAATGAGGATTGGCCCGGGTCTTTAGCGATGTAACGATAATGCATTTATGCTTTGCAGTGTTTTCTCTTTTCTTTTTTGGTCAAACGAATGATGAGGCCACAAGGGAAAATATTACTGACCCCTTCTGAGAGAGAAGTAATTGGGCTTCCTTCATTTTTGACGGACGAGGAGGACTGACAACCATCAAATGTTGTGTGCAAAGGATCAGAGGATGGGGGTTTTGCGTGAAGTACAGCTGAGCTGACGAGACGCGAGTCGGCTGCACGCGGATTCTTTTGGCGAGGAAGTGGAAGTAACAGATTGCTGAGCACTGTGCGGCCAATCGGCAGCCAGTATAGAGATCTGGTAGGCCCATAACATATACAGCGGGACGGCCATGCTCTTTTGCACGGGTGGGCAAAGGGTGCGGGAAGTTTACTTGTTTTTTTTTTTGAGTTGAGGGGGAGGGGGGTGAACTTGTCTGGGCGCCTCTTGGGTCTTTTGCGCGAGATGGTCTTCTCGGCGATGGGATTTTCCGTATGAGAGGCCTCTGTGTGTGTGTGTGTGGAGGAACGATGGGCGCCTAGTTTTGTTGCGTTTTTTTTGTTCTTTTGACGGCTCGAAGCCGTTTAAAGGGAAAACAAAAGCAAAAATCTCAATAAGAAGAAAATCATTACATACTGAGAGGTGGAAAAGGGAGGGAAAATATCGTCGCAATTGAAAGCTTTGAAGGAGCGACAAGAAGCAAGGAACAAACAGGATTAGATATATATTGTAAATGCAACGTCGCACAGTTAGCCCTGGCCGAGGTCGCGGTGGGCGGATGCAGGGAACTGGGAGCGGCGTTACACGTGCTGGTCTCAGCAAGCCGAGTGCCGTGGTGCGTGAGTTGCATAAAAACGATGGAACAAATCCGCGGAGTACGCGCGGCCGTCAGATTGCCACTGAGGTGGAGAGTCTGATGGAGGATGTGTACGGTGGCGCAATGACTCAGTGTCCACCCACTTCATCAGGAGTAGACGGCAACTACGCACGATTTAAGACGTCGTTTAACGCGGCTTCCGTACCGCAAAGTTGGCAACATGGTCCTGTAGATGCAAATGGGCGCTGCTTTAACGCCAGTGATCGGAATCTGCTATGCATGGATGTATATATTCAAAATAAATTGTGCGTGGTGGGTTCCGCAGATCATGGACTCAAGGTTTTTGATATCACAACCGGAAAAGAGAAGAAAAATCTTTATGCCAAGAACTATGGTCACACGGAGTGGGTGACATGTTGCAGGTTCTTTCAAAACAGTGGTCAGATCATCTCTGGCGGGATGGACAGTAAACTGTGTCTTTGGGAGGCCACGGGACCTGTGCGCTGCAGCGATCTACTGGGCCATACCGGCAGTATCAGTCAAGTTGAAGTTAACAATTCAAGTAACATCGCCCTCAGTAGCGGCTATGATCGGACCATGCGTCTTTGGGATTGTGGCGGCGGCGGCGGACGTTGTTTGGCGACATTAGCTGGGCACAAAGCACCTGTGATGATGTTTTCTTGGTGCGGAGCGCAAGTGCTCTCGGGAGATCGTCAAGGCGTAGCAAAGATGTGGGATCTTGAAACGGGGGACTGTCTCGCAACAATGGCCACCAAACGTGGACAAATTGGGTCTCTCTGGCATCTTCTTCACACGAGTGTAGGCCTCCTTTCCGTCATTGGGGATCAGGGTGGCGTTGTCACTGTCGTGGACTTCCCTCGCACAGGAAGTAAGCCCGTCTTTCAAGACGTTTTGCACCCTGGCGGTGTTGTTAGTGGCATCCGCTCTATTGACGAGACACCGTACTTAGTCACAGCAGGTGCAGATAAAGTCATACTCACTTTGGATCCTCGCGCAAATTTTGCCGAAGTGCACCGCTTCACTGATCACCGCGACTTTATCTACTCCATTGAAACATTTGGACCGCTGGTGCTCTCTGGTGGAGGTAACGGCTGGCTGCTTGTGCACAACGCCATGACGGGCAAGTGCTGTTACGGCCTTGGAGCCAACGCAGCCGCTGTGCGGGAGATTTTTGCAACCCCTGAACATTTGGTGGCGGCCGGTGATGACGGGAACGCGATGGTGTATGACTATATGTAAATAAGACTGAGATGTGTATCTGTATGTATGAAGCACATTGGTAACACCGAAGCATACTGAGATCGAAGGAAAAAGAAGAACAATAAAAAAGGCGAAAAGGTTTGAACCGCCCCACGACGTGGTAATACTGCGTATTTGGCCGTGAGACAAGACAGTACAAAAAAAAAAAACTAGCGTCTAAGGTGGGAGAACGAAAGGGAAACAGTGGACTGTAGAGCGATCAGACGCCACCCTCTACATACATATGCCACGTCCATAAACACAGCTATGGACGCTGTGTTTGTTCCTTGTTACCGCCAGCGGACGTTGACTGGAAAGCGAGAGAAAAGGAGGGGCACTACGGCAAAACGACCGTCCACAACGGGGTGGCTCCTTCTCCCCGCGTATTTTGCCCCCCCCCCCCCCCCCCCACGGCAGTGATGTTGCACAGTTAATATGGAGTTATTTTTTATCTTTTTGAGTGGTGGAGGAGTCTGTGTGAAAGTGGGAGAGGGATGCCGTGGCAAAGTGGCACTTTCTTGGTGTTGGTGTTGCTCCGTGAACCGTTTGTTTACCTCCTTTCCAACATCGCTCTAAGCACGCAAACGCACATACATGCCTCTTTTTGCCTTCCCCCCCCCCCTTTTTTTTTTCTTTTTATTTTTGTTGTTGCTTCCTGCCCGACATCCAGCGAACTGTTTGATCGGTGGAGAGGGCGTACGAAGAAAAAGTAAAGAATGACACTTCAGAAGCCGTGGGTTGTTGATTAGTGGCTGCCTGCTCCCGACGGCGGTGGACTGGGCAGTTATGCGTGAGCTGCGTGGGTGACACAAAAATGCGGGGTGGGTGATCCTTCTACCGAATTCCCAGCGGTGTTCATTGCAGAAGAGTCTTCTCCATTTTGGACCACGGCCGAGGCGGCACGTATGTTGGCCAACGCGCTGTCTATGGAGAGGCAGTCGCTACGGACGGCCTCCTGCATTACTATGAATGGAGTACATACCACTCTGAGGAATGGAACCATACGCATGGGGGGAGTTATTTTACGAATCGTGAGCGTTTTTGGCATTTTATTTATCACTGCCGCTGATGCGCCTATATGCTTTGCAGTGGACTCCTGCACGTGCGTCTCTCGTGGATTCCAAGTAAATGAGTGTGGAGACATTACCTGGGAGTTGCTTGAAAAGGTGGAAGGCACGAGGTGTCCACGTCGTGTATTACCTACAGTGCCTTGGGGTGATAGACATGGCGCTGAGCCGAGGCGTTTTTTTTTTCTCCCTCTTTCAATCATAATACTGGTTACAGGGGGAAGAGCCGGAGAAGCGATGGAAAAGGGTCACCGTCACCCCGAATGTCACCTCGTTGTACTTGGAATGAAGCTCGCATTGGTTTATTAATGCAGAGAAAACGAGCGATACCTCATGCTTTGATTCCATGTCATGTACACCGTATTGACAGCATCAGTGCTTCACCGAGGATGGTGTGTGTGTTGTCTCTGAATTTATCTGCAAACCTTGCCGAGACGTTTTTGGGGGGTGAGGAAAGGCCCGGAGAAGACGCATTCAACGCCTGGATAACTCTGTGGAAACACTCCAGTGTAGCGAAACTGTCACGAACGTTGTGGCCTTTACGCCGAAGAAGCACAACTGCAACAGAGGACTGAGGGACCCCAGCAATCTTTGGCTTGAAGTGGGGCTTCTTGGAAGGGCTGGATGGTCTCTGCAGGATGTGGCTGTTGTGGTTGAACTTCCGCCACGTCAGCTGATGAACGCGACACGGAAGTGTGTAAGTGGAACTAACTCCGCCATTATAGGTGAAAAAGCAATCGTCGTGGTGAACGCGGGGTTTGTTCGTGAACGGGATTCGCTGTTGGACGTTATTGCATACAAACCTGAATACATTGGTCTGCGAACGGAACCAGTTTTTCAGCCCACCTGAAACAGTGCGGCTGGCCCTGCTGGCTCACACTATGAGGTGCACCTCGCCGACATGGATTTTGGCTGCAATTGCAGAGGGGGCCGGCCTTCGTGGCAAAAAAGGCCATGCAGCTACGGGCGTGCAAGCGAAACTACACTGCGACCCTCAAACAGTGACGACTAGCATCTCTCCTGATCAACGCAGACGAGCTCGACCTCATGCAGGAACGCATTGCAGAGCTGCGAAGTCAGAAAGCGTAATGTAAGTTACATACTCACAGTTACGAGATTATTATTTCTTTAAGAAGCGGTGAGAGGGGGGGGGTGTGCTTAAAGCCATGCGGCCATATAACATTTGCCGTATCTGTGTTTCCTTTTTTTTCCTCTTTGTTGGCTTTGTTTTAGGTGCTACGTTACAGATGTGTTTTGCTTCTTCCCCATACTACTGCATGCCTGGTTTCATGCGCCGTGCAATTCACCGGCTGCGAGTTGTGTATGCCGTTCCTAATCTGCACGGCTACTTTTTTTTTTTAGTTTCTTTGCTGCTCTTTGCCGCTTTCTCTTTCTCTCTGTTGTGTTTCTCTGCGTAGAGGTGTTTTTGACTGACTCAGCACAACCGCCGGATCGCCTTGGGGAAATAGGTACTTCTGTAGCGCGTGCGGTCCGGCGGTAACCCATACGCGACGTCAACAAGGACAGCAGTAGTAGGAACAAGGGGAGGAGAGAGGGAGAGGAAATTGCGAAAGAAGAACTAGTTTTAGTTAAAGTTTTTTTTTCAAAACGGTGTTTTTTCGCCGTCAATAGTCGCTTATTTTGCTGTCGCATTGCGGTCGTTCAGGCAGCATTTACTTAAACATATAATGGAGCGGAGGATAACTGTAGCTGTGCGCATTCGCCCTTCTTTGGAGACTGAGCGCTTTGGGCCTCTTTGCGCTTACAGGGCCGACGACGGTCAGACTGTCATCATAAAGAATGAGGGAGGAGGTATGGACGCACCTGCAGCATTTCGATTTGATGACGTTTTTGACGGCCGTGATAGCCAGCGTGACGTCTACGAGGAGTCGGTGCAGGAGCTTGTGGATGCTGCGCTGGAAGGCGCCAACATGACTGTGCTCGCTTACGGTCAAACTGGCAGCGGTAAAACATGTACAATTCTTGGTTCAATGTCTGATGGGAACCTGACAGAGGAATCTGGCATATTTCCGCGTGTTTTTAATGATATATTTGCATACAGAGAGTCCGTACAAAGACAAAAACATCTCATTGTTTTTCTTTCTGCGATTGAGCTTTATATGGATGACGTCATGGATCTGATTTCCCGGCGAAGGAAGATGAATCTTTGTGAGACGCCTGAAGGAACGTTGATCCCAGGCGTGAGCATCATTGAGTTGCTGACAATGACAGATGTGCTGCAGACATTAAATATGGTCAACGCCTACCGTTCCGTGACATCCGCTAAAATGAATGACTTCAGCTCACGCTCGCACGCTCTTTTTTTTATTGATATTTTTCAAGTACCTCTCTCAACCTCTCCGGAGCGTCCAACACGAGAAAAACTGATAGATGTCAATGGCATTCCCATTAGGGGCTCCATTGAAGGGCTTGTGGGATCCCGCATTACGCTGGTGGATTTGGCGGGCAGTGAGCGGGTGAAGCGATCAGGCGTGGAGGATCAAGCCATGGTGGAGACGCAGGAAATTAACAAGTCACTATCGGTGCTAGGGACTGTCATTAACGGTTTGTACATGGGGAGCAACCACATCCCGTTTCAGGAGTCAAAGTTGACAAGACTCCTTAAACACTCGCTTGTCGACGGGGTTTCGTGTCTTCTGCTTATCGGTCAAATTACCCCACCCAGCGCGAGCACGCAGGAATCACAGGGGACCTTGCGCTTCTGTGATCGTGTGAAGGGTCTTAAGGTGGGCAGAGTGACCGCATTTATCGATTCTGCAGAAGAGGAACGCTACCTTCGATCGCTTCGTCAGCAGGAGGAACTGACTGCAGAGCTGCGCATTGCCGCTGTTGAGTACTACTACCGACCCATGCGTTCCCTTTTTATGGCACCACTAAAGAACATAAGTGTGGAGCAGGCTCGCCGAAAGTGCATCGCCTTGCTGCGGAAGGATGCTGCTAACATTGTGGTACGCAAAGAAGAGGAATGCCTTCGTGTCATGGAAGCGGAGATAAATTTGAAGCAGAGAGAGCAAGTACAGGCGTTTGTGGAGAAAATGAACCAAATGATTGAAGAGTATGAATCGGTGGCGCAGATTGTGAAGAAGAACAAGAAAGAAGCCAAGCGGCAGAAGGAAGAACAAAAAATGGAAGAGGAGGAAAAACTTATGGAAGCTAAGAAGGCCAAAAAGAGCCGCTTAAAACAACAAGCAAAGGTGGAGGAACTAACTGTCGCTTTGCAAGAGGCAGATAGGCTTGTGAGCGAACTTGAGACGGGATGTGCAACCCCTTTGGAGGAAGATGCGAAGGAGCATGCAGAGGCGCTAACCGCGGAGAAGCCTGAGGACAACTCAGTGCATTTGTTGATGGAAAACTTCTACTCTCACGCAACAGAGCTGGGGCACCTTCATGATTTATACGCTCACTGGCTAGGTGCTACACAGCGGCAACGCTCTCATGTGCGCCGAGCGAAGATTTTTAGTTCTCCCATCATCATGGGTGGCACGTTGGTGTACGATATCATTGACTTCATCATTGACCGTGCAGTCGACATTGCTAACAGAGCGATCGACCAGAGGCAGAAGTACTCATGGAGCGATATTGATGGCTATAGTTGCGCCCTACGCAACTGGGAACAATTGTATCCACCATTGATGACAGCAGCGGCCTCTAGATTCGAGACGTGTGAGCCGACTGCGTACCACAACATCACATTTCTCAGCTCCGATGATAGTGATGGGGAAAACTCACACCACCGTGAGGAAATATGCATGCGTCGTGCCGAAGCCGAACTTGTTGACAGAGAATTACGTGCAACTAGCGAGGAACTCAGACCGCCCGTACAACGCCTAGACAATGCATTAGGGGGCGCAACGGCGCAAGCAAAAATGCCACAGGCGGACGGAACTGAAATACATGGAAGAATAAGCAAGGGATCTGGAATGTTTTTTTCCGCGGCAGAGGCGGCAGCTGCCGACGTGCATGCGAATGATACTGACAGCGAATACTATGACAAGGAGAGGAACGGCGAAGGAACAGGAGGGGCAAATCACAGCCTAAACACGGAAGAGAATGCGGAGGGTGAAGCAGCGCATAATGCTAGTCCCAAAGGGCAAAGGCGCTCTACACGTGATAATGAATACCTCATGCGTGTATACGACTCCCCAACTCTCGTGCAGGACCTTATTCGATTTTTACGTTGTGGCACTATGATGCTTAAGCACGGACGCAGTGGAAAGCCACACCGTCGCTACTTTTGGGTTTCAATTGCACAAAACTCACGGAAATTGGTTTGGTCAGAACTCGAAGAAAAAACCACAACAGCATGTTCATCCATAAATCTCAGCGATGTGAGCTTCATCCAGCTTGGTTGCTTCAGCAAGGTCTTCAAACGTCACTATATCCCACCGACTGACCCCAGCTTTTACCGCAGCTTCACCGTTGGGCTTAAGGCTGGTGGACGCACCGTCGACATTGTTGCCGATTCCCTGCCGGACTTTGAGGCGTGGATTGTTGGACTGTCCAACTTGGTACGCGTGGATCCTGTGTGGGGTGGAAAACTTGACATTACAAAGGAGACACAATTCGATCAACTCAACTGCTTCGAAGCTGGCCTTTGTGAGAGCAACTACATTTACCCCTCGCAATACATTGCGCTCAAGAAGCGAGTAAAACGGATTGCATCAATGACACTGACTGCCTTGGATAAATGCGGCAACGATGCGACAAGGGCCCAGAAGCTACTTGGCGGCATCCATCTCCCCTCAGTGAATGAAAAGGGGGCAGTGTACCTCACCAAGGGGGAGCTCAGGTTCATTGGACAAAGTGAGATGGATATCCTCCGCATAACGAAGGTGTGGATTCTATTCCAGCAGATGAACCTCGTCTATGACGACAACTTTGTTCCTGCAACAACGTTCGGCGTCACTGAGCGCCACTAACAACTTTCAGATTCCTACGGAAAGGGCCAATGCATGCTAGTTCTTACTCTCGCAGCACGCGCCACGTCGTCCCTAACGCCCATCCGTGCTTTTTTTCCCAACCGTGAATGTAAAAAAAAAAAAAAAAAACATATCTAGGTGCCATCTGGAACTGTGAGTGGTGTGCCTTTAGCAACATGGAAAAGGGCGTTGGAATAGTCTTTCTTCCTATTCAGTGTTGCTTTTTTCTATTTATTGTTTATTATTGTCATTGATGTTGTCCCGAACAATGCTGCAATTGTGAATCCATCACGACCCACAACCTGGGGTGGGGGAGCACACTAAATACCGCCTCTATCCCTTTTCTCTACGTTTTTCTCCTTTTTCTTTCTTTCTACTTGTTTGTTTGTTTTCCGTTTGTGCCATTCTCAATTCCATAGGCAGAACGCCTGGTAATTTTATCAACCCTCGACAAAAACGTAAACTGCAAAATAATAATAAACGTCATTGAAACACCATGCTGGGGAGCTCGCCCACCTCAGCACTTCTTCTCGCTGTCGCAGTTGGTTTCTTGGTTCTGTCGGAGCCAACACACGCGTGGTGGTGCAAGGGGCACATGGTGGTGAATGAGATTGCCAAGCGACACTTGGACAGAAACGTGGCTGAATTGGTGGATGAAGCGGCAGCCAACCTCAGCTTCAGTGGGCCGTTTCCAGAGTCTTTTGATTTTGTTCAGAGCGCATGCTGGGCCGATGATATAAAGTTGAGTGGGCTTAAAGTCATGGAAGATTGGCATTTCATTGACACTCCTTACAACCCGCTAAATGTGCCCATCAAAAAGGATCCTTTGGGGAAGGACAATGCAAAAACCGTTATCGAGTCCCTGACGAGGACGCTGGAGAAGAAAAGGAAGCAGGAACCCGTCCCCTACGTTCTCAGTTTTGCCCTCGTGAATCTCGCCCACCTTTACGGAGACATTCACCAACCTCTGCACTCCATCACCCAGTTTTCTCCCGCGTACCCAGACGGTGATAGGGGCGGTAATCTTGAAGTGGTGCACGTCCGTGGTGCCAGGATGAAGTTGCATGCGGTGTGGGACTCCATTTGCCAAGGCGAGCAGCCAGACCCGCCACGACCGTTGAGCAAGGAGGAATACGCGAAGTTGAGGGCGTTCGCCGACTACCTGGAGGACACGTACAAGCCCACAACAGCAGAGAAGAGTGAAACAAATGTGAGTGTGATGGCAGAGGAGAGCTACATGATTGGGGTGGAGGTGGCTTACCCTGGTGTTGTGAACGGCATGGAGCTCACAGAGGAATACCTTGAGCGATGTAAGGCGGCTGCAGAACCCCGTCTGGTACTTGCCGGGCGCCGTCTGGCCACAATACTCAACCATGTGTTCAGCGATGTTGACACAGACCAAAGCTTGAAATCAAGGCCTCATTGCCGTGCTTCATGTTCTTTTTTGCAGGCAATTGTTCATGGAGCGGTGCCGGGAAGAAATGAGTAATGTTTTTGTCAAAAAAAAAAGTTACTAAGTGTTGATTTGTTTGGTTTTATGCTATCAAATGTTACAAGACCATATTTGTGTTTTGAAAAAATTTCAAGGTTTTCTAGTGGTTTTATAGAGACTGCTCTACTACCATTATCCATGTATTTGTTTGTTGGCATCACAGAGATTGAATTATTTCTTTTTCTTCAGATTACTTTAGCTGCCCTGGAAAGATGGGTCTTTGGATGCCTGAATAGAAGATCACGTGTCTTTACTAGTAGTATTATTTTTGTTGTTGCGTTGAACTGCTGGCCTTCATTGTCTCTGTGCGTTTATATGCTTTAGCACCGGCATCAGCTTTGTCCCTGCTTCTATTATTACCACTATTACTACCACTACTCGTTTTTCATGTCTTGTATGCTAGTTCTTCCTTGTACGGCAATGGGGGTTAACGCGTACATTGATGGCAAGGTGGTGCCGTGCGTCATGACACTGTGTCAAGTGCAGGCCCTCTTTCCACAAGGCCTACTAGGTCTTCGTGAATGCTTTGGAGAGAGATCTCCTGTTGTTCCCCGGACGGATGGTAGCGTTTATCTTAGGGCTGGTGCCTTTTATTCGTTGGGGACGGGTGACGCAAGTGACTGGCCGAGTCAAACTGTAACGAAGGGAACAGTAAGGGAGGTTTGCGCCTGGGATCCTTCCGCATCTACTTTGTCTGCTCCAGATGATGTGGTCACTGATGCCTCCATGGCATTGTCTACTGCGAATGTGGCTTATGAAACGCTTCTTATTCCTTCTCCCAATGCGCCGTCGTCCCATGCAAGAGAAAACGCACAGGATGCTTGTCTTACATCATTCCCACAAGAACCGCAATTGGGCAAAGGGGGCAGTGGTATGACGTATAATGTTGGGAGGGCAAGCTCCGTGGGCGATGATGAGTATGGACGTAGAAATGTTGACTACTCTGGGAATTTGCCCCCAGTCTTATCTCAGGTCCGTATTGCGGATGTCCCCGGAAAGCACATTCAGGATCGCGTTCATGAGTATGTGTTTTTGCCGCCAATTGCGATTCGTGTAGTTGACACACCTGAGTTTCAGCGTCTTCGTTCGTTGAAGCAGCTCGGTACCACCGTTTTTCTCTATCCAGGTGCAACGCATACACGCTTTGAGCACTCTATTGGTGTGGCGCATTTGGCGTCTGAAATGGTTCGTCATATTGCGATTTGTCAACCCGAGTTAAACATTACACTAGCTGATATCATTTGTGTAACCGTTGCAGGACTCTGCCACGACATTGGGCATGGTCCATTCAGCCATTTGTTTGAGCAAATTGTGAATCGTATTCGTGGAAAGGAAGGAAATAATTCCCAATGGCATCATGAGCAAATGTCTGTTCGCCTTCTGCGTCGTATTCTTTCCCAGATTGACCTTGAAGAATATGGTCTAACAGATGAGGATGCCCGTTTTATCGAGGTTTGCATATTGGGGCTTTCTCCAAAGTCACCGTGGCCCACCGGCACTGGGCGTCCGCCGTGCAAACGATACCTTGTTGACATTGTTGCAAACAAACGCAATGGTCTGGATGTGGATCGGCTTGACTACTTTCTTCGAGACTCGCTTGCGTGCTATGGTCGCGCCGCTCTTGATGTGCATATTCCTCGTCTACTGAGCGCCTGTAAAGTATTTTGCTTTGAGGGTGAGTATCAACTTTGCTTTGAGGAGAAGATGGCCCTGAGTCTTGGGGACATTTTTAATGTCCGAGCAAAACTGCATAAGCATGCGTATCAGCACAGGGTTGTTAAGGTCACTGACTACATGGTTTCTGATGTCCTGCTCGAGGCCGATCCGTACTTCACGGTGCGTGGTACAAACGGTAAACCCATTCGCATGTCGGAGTGCGTGGAGGATGAGGTAGGCTTCTGTCAACTTGGAGATTGGGTGTGTAACGCTATTGCTGCCTCGACTGATCCGCGGTTGGCTAAAGCGCAGTTAATTATTCAACGTATTAATCAACGTAATTTGTACAGGGTTGTTGATATGGCGATGTTCTCGCGATTTCAAGTGAGTGCCACAGAAGAAAGCATTCGTGATGAAATATTGATTTGGTGCAATAAATTGGAAGATGATACGCTATTGCAAGAGGCAATTAAGCGCACTTTGATCGTCTCTTTCATTGTGATTACATATGGCAGCCTCGACGCCCAGGGGAACCCAGACGATCCCATCAACCACGTCACGTTTTACAACCCAAAGGCTACCGAGCTAGGGGCTTTCAAGCTTCCAGGAACACGTGTGAGCCCCTTGTTTTCACCGAGCCACTACGGTGAGCGGATGGTGATTGTCATGGTGCGCGACGAAGAGTTTCTTGACATTGTCAGGGCGGCATTTGAGGCATGGAAGCTTGAATACGGGCCACGTTTGGGGGATGCTGTGCCGACGACTAACAGGAGGAAGGATGAGACCCCTGGGAAGGCCTCTGCGAAGGCGAGGAGTGTGAGCCAAAATAGTAACGTCCTAAGTGGTAATGATATAGTTCCTTTTGAAGGGATGCAACGACAAGCGCAAACAGCCTCGCTGACGCAGGAATCACCCCAAAAGCAGAAAAGTGTGCAGAGGAATTTAAAGAGAGCTCGAACCTCCAGTTGCGCACCCGGTGATTCACAGCGAGATCACGCGGATGAGGGCAACGAAATAAGTGAAAAGTTGAAACGAATTTGTAGTTAGGACTAAAGGTGAGGAAAAATAACATTGCATAAAGGCTGAGAGGTCGTGGAATGCTGCTGCCTTGCAAGAGTGTTTAGGCCGTGTTTTTTTTTATAGTTACGTTTCTACACTTATTCTCATTTGTTGATGGCCTGTGTAGCAGTCCTTCTTTGTCTACCACACGTTGTTATCGCATTTTGTTGTTGTTATTGGGAGCTTGCGAGAGGAGTGGTTGGGCCCTACGGGGGGTGGTTGCTGAGAACAACCCTAATGAACTGCATGTTTTCTCTTTCAATTTGCTTTTGCGGCAGCTACGCAAAGGGTGAGTTTTGAAGTGGGGTGTGGCGAGCATTTAGTTAGTTATTTTTCAGGGATGACCTCCGCCACGCACCCCTCATAGTCGGATGTGGGGTGGGCGGCCGGTGTGACGGCCTGGCGGTGTTTTTTGTTTGGGCTTATCCCAGTACAGTTGCCCCTTCTTGAACTGCCGGGTGGATGGCAGCGTAGCCGCGGTAGGCGGGGGAGCCTGCCACCCCTGAGGGCCTCTGTGGGGACCATGGCGACTCTGCGTGCGGGGTGGGCGTCCTTGGAAGGGCGTGAGCTGGCGCCGTCTTTTTGCACAATTGTCTGTCGAGGGCGCTGCGGGCACAATAATCCGCGGGTTTTATGCAGCAGGTGTGCGAGGGGAGCGCCATCACTCACCCCATTGCTTCGGCCTTTCGTTTTCGTTCTTTTTGCGCTGTCTCTTGACGGGGTGCGTGCTGTCGGCTGCTTCCCCTCTTCAACTCTTTACCTGCACCGTTCCGGAGTTGGGTGGCGTGCGTTGGGTTGGTTGGTAGACCTCTGTGCACGTGTGTGGCTGCATGGTGCGGCATGGATGTGTGTGTCGTTTCCGACCGACTTCTGCGCTTGTGTATGTTACCTGCGCTGCCCTCAGACGCACTGCACCCCTTTTTCTCTTGTGTGGTAGCTTCTCACACCGGCAACGGCCATGCCAAAGCCAAAGTTGTTGACAATGAAGCGAGAGCTGAAGCGTGAGAGTGTGCTGAGGGTTTTATTCATTCTGGCCACTGCTCTGCTGTTTATCAGGTTTGACACCACCACCGGTGGTGACCCAGCAGGACCGCACAGTCCCGGCAACTCGCGAGCAGTAGCGGCAGATGACGCGGCGCTCGCCTACATCCCGCGCAGTGTCGTGGACACGTGGGGCCGGCGGGACTTCCTGATTGTGCTGGGCATTCCTTCCACGGATACGGAGGCGAGGCGGAGGCGTCGCAACCTGCAGCGGTCAACGTGCTGGCGGTTCCCTGGTGTGGCAACGAGGGCGAATGACTTTAGCGGTGCGATGTTGGTGCTGTACTTACTTGGGCGTCACCCGGAGCACAGCTACAACTACTCTGCCGCGTTGCAGGAAGAGGCGGCGCAGTGGCACGACGTGGTTGCGCTGCCAATGAATGAGGGCCATGTGA